TTAACAATCAACAGTAGTTTGTTCGATGGAGGAAAGAATGGTAACATACTCAATGTAAAAAATCTACAATAAAACAATCACTACAAGTTTGGGGCTTCATCGCAACCAATGGTATCTACACAAAAATGTCCCAATGTCCCGATAAAGTGTCTCAAACTGTCAGTCACATCCAGTCACGATTGTAACAGGCCTACTTGACTTGCTCATTGTTGTAATACGTACTCTCCTGCCGCCAAACTCTCTCGAAAGTTCCGTCAGTGTGTGCTGAGAAACTCAGATCTGAATGTGGAGACAGTTAAGGCAGTTATAATCGTCAAAACACACCTTACACAGTCATGTACTGAATTTTATTAACTATTTGAAGGAAAAAACAGAATTTCCATGTTCCAATCATTCTTCACAAAAATATGCCTAAAACGTTTCAGAGTAATGTTAAAACATAAAATTAGTATGTTTGAAAATGTTATGGATTCTTAAATAAATCCAGGTATGAAGTATCCTATTTTAATATGACTTGGATAGAAGTTGACTAGTTTTGCTCATTTGTTTTGTATCTATCACCAAATAAAGTAGTTGAAATTATCTCAGAAACAATGGCAATGTTAATATATTTAGAAACATTATGGAATAGTCTCAATAAATTTAAGGTAAATTAAATAAAAGTTAAATTATTTTAATTTTATAAAACCTTTTTCAAACAAGGGACAAGGGCTGGGATGTCCTGGTTTTTCGATTTGGAAATCTGGCCACCCTAGCCAATAACAATTGTTATTCGTCTGTCTCCTGCCCCAGCCCTAATGGGGTTTGTAAGACACTATCACGACTTGCGTCAGTACCCAATCATGTTTATTCAAAACGTTTTGACAGCTTCCTTCATTTCTTTATGGTCCTATTAGCTCACTCCTTCCTTGTCAGTAGAATCGTACTCGTATTCACTGTCATTGCTTTAGTAATGCTCTGAAAAAACTATTGTTAGTGTTAATCAATTTTGGCAACGGAATCACCTTTCCCATCGCCTCATTACCTTTTCTGTCGAATACTATAGTTTTCTGATGATTATTATTATTCATAATAACCTTGTATAAAAACTTAATCGCACACTACATTGAAAAACATAAATTGATGAGTCAATGTTACTGGTTTGTGCCATGTGTAAACTGGGATAGCGAACTTTCTACATTTTCTAGAAGAATTTAGACATTTGTACAAAAAAACAGTATAGGGACACTATAATTTTATGTCTTTTTTTCCCATTTAGAATTCGAAACAAAGTAAACGAAGTGTAATGAACAACTTGACAGAAGCAGTAAATTTAGTGTGAACTTCATAGAATGTGGTATAATATCTGGAATGATCTGATCTGGTGAGGCAAAACAATATAAGATAGAAATGATACTTTTCCTAACCCTTAAAACAGTCACGAATACTAATATATATTGGTAATAAGTTTACTGAAAGAATGAATATAAAAGTCAGTAAATATAATTTATTGATTCTTTCTCTATACATAGTGATAAAAAAAAACACTAAAAGTATATTGATGATATTCTATTTCTCAAGATTTGATGGGTTAGTTCAATTTGTAAATTTCAGAGGCATACAATTCTTGTATACTTTCCACTTAATTGAACTAATGAACTAATTTTTCATGCTCTATCATATTTGATTAACCATCTAATACAACCCCCCAAAAAATATGTTATCATCATTGTATGTAAGTAAAATCACTCAATCTAAATAAGACTGTTGTCGCACGTGCTGAGACATTTATTCACAAAACTTCAAGTATTAAATAGAAGATTATGATCTTAGATCAACTGTTCATGTTTATAGCTAATCATTCATAGTAAACTTGCAAAAAAGATCAGACAATAAATTAATGCTGATGTTCATTGTAAATATTAGAAGTGAGAAACCTTTACATCATTAGATGTGATATGTGTAAACATAGTTTTCTCTTTCTAAGGATGTGATGGTCCTGAAAAAGAACTTTAAATTTCAATTGTTTAAACAAATTTATTTTCTTCAAATGAATACCCCGTCTTCTCCATCATCTGGACGAATCCTCGTTTAAAAAGCATGATGCTACTTTTCAGTATACCTATAGCCAAATGTAATAATATTTGCAGTATATCCAAGTGTTCTAGCATGTGATTAGTCAAATGGAAACATAAGGGACATTCTCCAAAGTGATTCGATATAATATTATCATAGAATGTTTCTTCATTTAGAAACTCTATAAAATATATCATGCACTTGAAATCCACAACTAAATTAACTATCTGTGTATTATGGAATTTCGAATAATAAATATTTTCACCCTCTTGCTACTTCTCTTTCATTGCTTAAAACTGACAGACTAAAAGCTTCATAAACACTGATTTTTAGGAAATACAAAACGTTATTTATACATGTGGCAGGAAAGAGTGTTTATCATTATCACATGGCCAAAGGTTGCACAAACAGCGCTTGTATGTTACTGTATTTAACAGTCAGTAAAAACGAAATTATCTATTCCTTTACTTTGCATAACGATACAAAACACTAAATTTGTATTCATGATATTTTATGGGACATGTTCAATATGCACATTTCAGTTAGCATACAATTCTTGTGTACTTTCTACTCAGTTAGACTCCATGTTCACATTTCTAACAATTGTGTTTAACCATCTAATACAAATATCTATATAGATATGTTATCTTTAATGTATGTAAACAAAATCACAAACTCTATATAAAACTGTTGTCACACATACTGAAACATTTATTCACAAAACTTCAAGTATTAGATAGGGTATTATGATCATATATCAACTTGCAAGATGAGTTATCAAAGCGAAAAAGGAGATGAACAGTTTTATAAATAATGGTACAACGAAGAAGTTGACTATCATGATTTGATTTGATTTATACTTTTGGAAATATAAGTATTAGTAGGCAAGAATATCACGTGACACACTAGTCAGAGGTGTACGTCCAGGTCCGAGTACATTAGGAAGTTATTTTCTGTTACTGAACAACACATGTATCAAATTAACAAAACTTCAAGCATCAGATACATTAATACACTTTGTACGAAAACTACAAACAGGTTCCACTACAGTACTTTATTTTATATAGCTTTTTTATATTACAATTTTACAAAAAAAAATTCCCGTCTCTCATTTTCAGATTTTATATTATAAAAGTTCAGAAAATTATCTTAACCATTTTTCTGTAGAACATTCCTTTTGAAGTAATTTTTTTAACATTTCAACAATGGAAACTCGTAAAATTGTATATCCTTTAAGTGTTTTGTTGTCTGCAGCAACCAACATACGGAATGACAATATTAATAGGTAGGATGTTTATCATTATAGAATATGCTTGACAACCAAATAAAACTGCACTGAGTATATGCATAGCAATAAGGCTTATAATATTTCTTTGCACATTTTTCGTTACTTGGAATGCGCACACTCTGTGATGCACGACACTGCCGACAAGGCCTTTAGTCCATTACCTAACTCATTAGGTTAGCTGGGAATGCAACACCTAAAATTAAATACCTTTAATAAACGATATTTCCAGAGACAACTGTTCAAATATGTGTGACCTGTCTAGACCATGCTTATTATAGTTAAGTTAGTATTATTCCTACCATATATAATAATCATATAATTTGAGTTTTTACATCTTAAACGTCAACAAAACTGTCATAAGAGTTGCAAAAATTAGTAAAGTTCTTTGTACTAACAGAAATTTGTCAAAGTCATATCAAGATATTACACAGTTCTTCCTTAAGTTACAGAGTCATAAGAACCTATGTTTAGTCTATACTAAACGAAAACGTACAACAAACTTCTGAAGTTGCGAGAACGCCCGAACCTAAGGGATAGCAGTAGAGAATAATAATAAAACAATTGATGCGTTTGGGCATTCACAAACGTTATAAATATGGGATTAATCCGGATATATAAGCAGTTACTTCCCACAAGCGACACGCAGTTACACTTAAACAGAAATTATAATGTTTAAGTCAATTCGAAATATTTTGCATTTTTGATTGAGATAATATTTTTTCGAATAATCTAGAGATTAATTTCTGTTGAGTAATACTGTACAGATTTAGCATGATATGAACTTTATCAAATATTTTATATTTAGAGCACGCAAAAGAAAACATTCCGCAAGTCTTGAATATAAGCAGATTTCGAATAGATATAAAGACAGGAAGAGAAATTAAAATTATGGTTTAATAGCAGCACTTGGCAACCTGCTTAGGTGCGAGCTAATTTACTTTGAGAGTAAAAAAACCATCATACGGTGGTTTTACAAAATGTAACATGTCAGACTTCTTGTTGGATATTCAAGTTAGTTTTACATATTCTATCGTAATTCATTTCTCTTTGTTTTCTGAGAAGTTTTATTCAACAAAGGGAAACAACAAAAACAAATCAGGACAAGAAGATAGAGGATTTTAGATTCTCTGTTCTTCCCCTTAAAGGTATTATGCATTGTCAGATTTGGTGTGATACAAGTATCAGTATATTTCCTTATGAAACATGAAATATTCTTGGATTTTATTTTCATAATCCATATTCCCAATACTTCTGGTTAGCAGCATTTTGTGGTTTATCTAGTTTATGCGTGTAAAAGTAACCATGTATAACCACGACATTAACATCAGAATATTAATATGGAAATAGGTTTTTATTTCATTTTCCCGTGTTATGATGTTGCAGCTTTGTCCATGTACTTACTTTGTTTCATATTAAAGTGATTTTCATTATTCTCAACGTTTTTGAACTAGCTTCTGATTCATTTTTGAAGAATTGTATTCGTCCCAACTAACATGTGTTTGCAGTGTTGGTCAAAATAAGGTAACTGGTTTTATGAAGAATGTTCCATCCCTCTCTTTTATCAACTCCCTTTGAATTTCTAAGATAAAACTTGATTAATCCGTTATAGAACGTGTGTATATATTTATGATACATGATAAAGTTGTGCTTATCGCAGGTCAGTTGGACGAAGCTGAATACTAGAACTATACTAGCAGTTAATGATCGGATAACTGGTCATAATAACCGACTATCAGCTTACCACAAAAACAGAAAACTCTGGATGCTGAAATTTAGAAACGCTCAACCTGAAGACGAGGGATTTTACTTGTGTAGAATTGAAACTAAGCCACCCGTTTCTGAGGTCGGGCATATAAAAGTTTTGGGTGAGTAAAAATGTAGAATAAATAAAACATCTTTTCAATTTCACAGTGAATAATTTATTATTTTTTATAAATAAGCATAACAAATAGCTTCGTTGTTTCATAACAAATGTAAGATTATTCGTTGTAAAATACAAGGTTGTTATGAAGTTAAGGTGGGTATTTGGAACAGTATATTAACTGGACGAAATATTTTATGCACATATATGAGAGATATTTTTGGTACTTGGTATTTTCAATCTAAACGAGGACACGTAAGCTAAGGGACCAGGTTAAAGACCTTAAGGTTTAAGCATAATTATCTCTAATTTGAAGCTGGTGGCTAGCAAAAGAAGAACAATCAATTTATAACACCTGCTATATGCATGATTATTTGCGGGATTAACTCTCGCGATTATAATATCTAATCAGATGAACATTGGCGTATATCAGTTCAAACCTTGATTTTCCCGATCCGCACCACTCATTTCTGGAAATGGCGCCATTATAGCAACTTTTCAATGTTGTAACCATCATTTTCAATTATAATGTAAACGTTGAAAATAGTATTCGATTTTACAGCACGAAACAGGGTAAAACTTCAGGTCTGGAAAACATAACTGTAAGATTTTATTATTGTGACATCAGACAAAAAATAAATAAAAAGATTGTAGGACATAAATCACGACTGAAAAATTAATAAGTAGTCCTTCATCCTTAGACATTTCCTGGTTTGTCAACTTCAGGAGTTAATATTTGAAGGATATTGGAACTTAAATATTTAACATCTAAGCTCAGCCTAGGCCCGGCATGGCCAGGTGGTTAGGGCGCTCGTTCGAATCCCCATCACACCAAACATGCTCGCCCTTTCAGCCGTTATAATGTAACGTTGGTGAAAGAGTAGTCCAAGAGTTGGCGGTTGGTGGTGATGACTAGCTGCCTTCCCTCTAGTCTTACACCCAGTATCTAGCGTTATAAGCCTATAGACTTACAGCTGAGCCACTAGTGACCATGTTGAAGAGAGGCCCACCTTTTGAGAGCGCTGTAGGGTTTTTGAATTTTGAGTTTTAGCGTGAATAGCTGTTTACTATAAAATATTTTTTCTTTCAGAAAATGTAGTAGTGTGTGATTGTAAAAACTGAAAGTTTCTTAGCTGTTTTGCTCGTTCGGTCAATCGATTCATGATACTATATGTATACATATATAAATTAAACATGATACTATATGTATACATATATAAATTAAACATGATACTATATGTATACATATATAAATTAAACATGATACTATATGTATACATATATAAATTAAACATGATACTATATGTATACATATATATATTAAGCATGAGAATATTACTGAATAAGAAGTTTCACACATTTTTATTTTATCAATATGATGAGCGAATGTGGTGCCAAGTACGAGCTTTGGTTCCACAGAAGACATATTTAGCACTTATATAATTGGTTCACAACAAATTCTCGGTCATACGACACTGCAATATCTCCATAGCTAGACTTAGGTTGGAGGAATATAAGCTGCTTTTTCGAAGAGAAATATTCATATAGCAAGACTGATAAACGAAGTTCAGTTAAAGGATACACAATTTCAAAGAAGATTAATTTTAATTTTACCGATAGTGATGGAACAACTCCCACAACAGAGCATTTATTATACCTAACGGACTCCAAAACCACACCCAAACCTTTCATGAAACTAGGTGTATCTTTTGTGCTGTTAATAAGATATTAAAACAAAGAATTTGAAGTTTAAGAAGGCTCACAAAGCGAAGTTCATAAGATTCAAACCACAGTTCATAATCCATAACTGTTTTCACGAGAAAGATAGCTGAGGAAACCGTGACAATAGTAATCCCACTCAACATATACCTGCCAAGTCTTCTGAAGCATACTCAATAGAATTTTGAGTCTTTGGAAACCCATGTCTAAATGCAGTGGAGGGTTTATGGAAAGTTTGTCAGTATGTTTGAATAAGATTGGCCTCGTTCTCCTTCGAATGATTGATAAATTAGCACTAAGGAAAGCATTAGACCTGGAGCACCATTTTTATAATGTGTGGTTTGCTTCAGTATAATACAAGAATGATGGTTATGCATGATAAATATGGATATGTTGGTGAAAATGTTTTTAATGCTTATTTGACTGAACTTCACCTTGATTTTTGTCATTATCAACAGAAAAACTTATAAATTATTGTAGAATTTCAACACTAATAATGGCTTTTATATTTGTATATTTTGTATTTGCTCAGATGAACATGACTTTTTCTATCTTTTAGAGTTTACTGTCACATGTTTTTGTCCAGGTATAAAAAGGTTTGAATATATTACATTAAGGCGATTTTGCATGCACAAATAATCAAGTCACGTGACAACTACAGTCAGTATAAGATCGTAGGTAGTGTGATAGCACCAAAGATTTATCGCTTTTGAGAATGGTATGTAACAGCTCTTTCTGAACTAAAACATTCAGACATTCAGATCATAAATTGTGTCCAGGTCGGGAATTTATTATTTCCAAGATGGGTATGTCCCTTGTACTTAATAGCATTGTAAAATACAAGAATATAGATCAACTTGGGGTATCATAACCATCAAGAAAGAGATCTGCAACAATTCATACCCCAGTTGTGGTAAGAAAAACGTGGCATCTGAAAACATGAGAGCATCCATGAACACAAAGGCCAGTAGCAACAGTCGTCCAAGCAACATAATCAAGAAAGATCTCCATCTTAAAAAGTAGCACAAGTCACGTGTATACAAGCTGCTTCCTTGACATATTTGTTCAACCATCTCATACCTCAAGCAGCTGGAGAATAAAACGGGTAGTCGTATTCATGCTATTCTATATGAAGAAATACCTATCAATTGAATTGGGTGCTGGTAAACCGTCGTCCTCATACAATGGATAGCTGATGGAAAGCAAGCAGTGAGGAGGAGAGTGCTTTAGATATGACAGCCTTCCGATAGATCTTTTTGCAATGGAAACTACGCTACAGAGCTATTGTCAAGATACATCGTCTGAGAGAGCATGAACAAATGTGGTAATATGTAATATAACGACGTGATTAGGCCTAAAATTGTTTAAATATAACTTACGCAATCAAAGTATTTACTGGAAGGTATCACAATCTAACTCTATAAATTACAGGACTTATCTATGCATAATAGTAATTTTTTTGTTTTTTCACAAGATATATCAAATGTTTGATATTTTAATTGTAAAGACAATAACACAATGAATTGTGGGAATGTGAAGAGAGAGCTACACATAAATATGATATGTGGTATAGAGCTGTAACCTGACCACATATTTTAATTGTAAAGACAATAACACAATGGATTGTGGGAATGTGAAGAGAGAGCTGCACATAAATATGATATGTGGTATAGAGCTGTAACCTGACCACATATTTTAATTGTAAAGACAATAACACAATGGATTGTGGGAAGAAAGAGCTGCACATAAATATGATATGTGGTATAGAGCTGTAACCTGACCACATATTTTAATTGTAAAGACAATAACACAATGGATTGTGGGAATGTGAAGAGAGAGCTACACATAAATATGATATGTGGTATAGAGCTATAACCTGACCACATATTGTAATTGTAAAGACAATAACACAATGGATTGTGGGAAGAAAGAGCTGCACATAAATATGATATGTGGTATAGAGCTGTAACCTGACCACATATTTTAATTACTATCAAATAATTATAAGTCATTTCTTAAGTAAAGTGAGTATTGTTTGTTTCATAGATACCTGAAAAGCTAAAGTGAAAGATAAAAAGCTATAACCAAAGTTGCTTACTTTTGTTAAACACTAATGATGAAACAAAAATACTCTTATACCCACACGTTAAAACAGGTGGTATGATATGTAATGTGAATATGTTTTATTTCTTTTGTAGTTCCTCCGACTTTCCAGGACAAACACACAGGAGAGATCACGGTTCAAGAAAATAGCAACATCGTTATCAGCTGTAAAGCTCAAGGCAACCCTAACCCTACAGTGAAGTGGCACCGAGAAGATTGCAGACCCTTCTTTATTAATAGTGAAACTGGTATGTAATTTGAATTAATTGCGCATCCATCTCTACGGAGTGATATGATATTCTAACACTTTAACTGATTGTAACATCTTGTTAACAGTGAGTTAGGGCGAGAAAAAGGGAAGTATCACAAAATTACCAAAACAAAATAACATGAAACAGATCCGGTAGGAATTCTTTAGAATATTTGCAAGTATATTCTCTTGTTATAATCTTTATGCATAATGATAACATTCAAATGTTTGAAGAACATAGAGGATTACTAAATAAATTGCATCTCAATTAAAATAATGACAAAATGTAAACGGTTATTCCTTTCAAAATCGTTTTCTTCTTCTTTTTTTGTCTTTAAGATGAATTGTGTTTATACGAAAATGTCTATATTTTTAACTTATAAGGTTTTATTATCTTAATGTCGTTTTCATCAACTTTTTCTTCGATAGACAACCACATTCTTATGTTAAAACAATCTTCCGTTTCTAAGCAATGTGAGTCGTGACCTGTGGTGACCATGGTGGTCAAAATCAGTTTTATTTAAGGCAATGTTTCGCCATTACTGATTTAGGTTTATACAAAAGATTTCAAATTAATACGAGTCTGCGCAGTAAGACAGACTTCGTCCGGGAACATATAAACAAATTGAAAGTACATACAAACGGACAAGAATAACTCTTTAAGCAATTTAATACATTTATATGATTTTTAATAGCTTCCACCCTACTATAAAATTCACTATTAGGCTTCCCACAGAATCAAAAATGTTGTCATTACTTGACGTTCAGGTTATCATAAAAGATGGTAAACTTGTAACAAAACTGTATCATAAGTCTTGTGAGAAACCAATGTTTTGTTTGTTGTTGTTTTTTAATTACCACTCACATCACCCACTGCACGTTAAACGTGCGCCTATTATTGGACAACTAATTCGTGTATTTTACATTATTATCACAATTATTACAAAGTATTATAAGTATTATAAGTACTGGAACTAAAAAACTATCACAGTTATTACAGTAGTGAATAATATAGTTCAAAACTCATCAGATTTACTACATAAGTAAATACTATCCCATACCATATGTTCAGTAAGAACTGAAGCCTGAGAATAAACTACTTCTTACTAAGTGTTTGAAATATCCAAAGCAAAATATGAGTTCATCAAAGACGTTTATAAACATCATTAGAATAATGTACATTGTTTTTTTCACTTGTTTTGTTTCTCCACATCCCAGTTACGCAGTATGTAAAGCAAGAACTCCATTTTGAAAAGGTTCATCGTTCTCACATGGGTGCCTATTTGTGTGTTGCCAGCAACGGAGTGCCACCAACCATAAGCAGACGGACATATCTAAAAGTGACATGTAAGTTAGTTACAGGATTTGTCAGGTGTGTTTTTCTGACAGACTGGTGATGGTGGATAGAACATTTATTTCGAGCTGTAATATATATATATTGTGTGGCACTTTATTTCTTGATCACGTATTATAATGCTTTTCCATTATACAAGGCTATGAATTACGTACCATTACATATTTGCACTGTGTAATAAAAAAAAAGCTCCTAATTACATTTTATGTCTCTCTCTCTTTGATCGTGGCGGGTAGCGAGTTGGAACTTGGCAGATACTTTATTTTCTTGAGGAATATGAATTATGGAGATTTTTACTGTTTTTGAACAGGCAGTCTATGTTACACCTTTCGGTTCTCTTGAACCTTTTGCTCTGGTGGGTAATATCTAGAATGACTAGCATTTTTATAACACACCTGTTTTTGTTTTTTTACTTATCACCGAAGTAGTGTTGAAATATATATTTCAGTAACTCTTTAGTAGTACGAGTTTACCGTATAAAAGCACAAAGATTGTTTAGAAGAAAAACTGTTGGCCGTGGCTTAGTGGTTAGCTTGCCGGACTGTGATTATGAGGGTCTAGAAATTTGCATCCCACCTCCGAAAAAAAAGCTCCGCATTTTGGGGCTGTAGGTGCGTCACAAAAGTGATGGTCATATTCTACTATTGATCAGAGTAGTCCAAGAGTTGGCGGTGGGTATTTTTGACTAGCTACCTTCCCTCTAGACTCTCAGTTCAAAAGTAGGGACGGAGAACGCAGGTAGCTTTTGTGTAGTTTTGCGCAAATATCTGAAACAAAACAAAGTACCTCAGACTTTCAGAAAGAGTATTTAACAGATTCAACCAAGAGCGTATGTCAGCTTTAAGAACACAGCCAAGATATTTAACAAATTATCTGAGGTTACTGTATTTGCGAACCTTGAAAAAAACACACCAAAAAACATTTATTTGTTTGCTTAATATTTTGATTTGTTTTTGCATTTCGATTTTGCAGTCTCACCAACAATATATGTACGTCACAACATGGTGACAGCTCCACTTCGAAAAGACTTGGTGACGTTAGAATGTCGTTCAGAAGCTTACCCACCATCAACAAATTATTGGCTCAAGGACAACTACCTTCTATCGAAGCTACCTAGAAAATACGAGGAAGTTTTCGCTCGAAGTGCCACAAAAACTCATATGAAACTTCTTATTAGACACGTTCAGAAAGACGACTACGGAAGTTACAGTTGTGTAGCTAGCAACAAAGAAGGAGAAGCTGAGGGTTCAGTAGATTTTCACGGTAAAACGATTACTGTAAATGAATTATTATAAAAATGAATTAGTCGTTATCAATTCGAAAAATTTAAGAAAAAATAATTTTTTTAATAATTATACATTATTTCACATTTTTCGCCCAAAAACGTATCGTTAAAATAAAAGTTTTGAGATGGCTTGACTGGGTAATAAAAAACTTTCCCAAGATACCTATATTAGACTGTGGAGTAATATCCTGTCATGTGATCTCTTTGTTATATACTTTATATATATATATATACTCATGTATTTCTTGTAAAATACTTGTACCTGAGGATGACAAAAGCTTGTCGAAACGTTGTACAGTTATAATAGTTTTTTCAATACCCACTCAAGCCGTCTGTCATGATATAAATAACTTTTTGGTTTAAATATTATTGATTAATTTATATTTGTGAGTGAATATTTTATTATTTTTAAGTTTTGTTATAATAAGAGATAAAAGCAGACTATTGTATAAGGTTTTGTTACTAACTAATTGGTGTCGAGAATATAGAAAGTGGCCAAACGACTATGTAATAAATATATAAATGGTGCTAGACGTGCGGGAAGAAGCAGACAGACAATATTAGACAGATAAAAGAAAAGAGAATATAGCTGTGTGAAGTTAACTACCGTAGATGTTATAGGCCTAACGTTTAATATATTAGAGTGAAACTAACAGTATAGAAAAAAAGATCAGAAGGATAATTTTATTCGTCAAAGTGTGGATCTAAAGTAATTGAATCAGCCTAGGTACACTTTGACAAAAGGAACAGAGGATCTTCAGAAGAAAGAAGATCAAACGAATTACGGTAACTTGCGCCACAACTGTAAGTGAATCACAAACACAGAATACTAGTACAATAGTAATATAGAGAAGATAGTTCAACTTGTCAACTGAAATTCTAAAGTAATTGAATAGGCCTATGTGGACTTTTGACAAGAAGAAGAGAACTATATATAAATAGTGTTTATGATATGCCTGTTATTTCTATAGAGTGAAGACTTTGTTGTTCATAGGTTTAACTTCTTCTGAACATATATATTATTTGAAAACAAGTAAAGAGTGTGCTGTTTATTCATCTTTGAATTTATAGCTAACAAGTCACAGACACCTGCTATAGAAGAATCCTAAG